AACTAAAAAACTAGTCTTAAAAAATATGTTAATACAAATGAAAGTGATTTTCAAGCTGCTGTACTCGATTTACTTGTTCAATTACTTTTAATTCGTGTTAATTATAGTTAATTAGAAGCTGATGAAATTTGTTGCATTTTCAATCGTTTCGTTTATTTTTAAATAGCATTTTATTTATTGTATTGCTGAATTTCTTGTTATGTTATCACATGATACACTTCATTCAAAACAAGTTATTAAAATACAAGATTTAATAAAACATTATGATTCATTATTAGCAAGTGGACATGAACCTGAAACACATGGTAGGAAGTTAAAAAAAAACATTTTCGAGAAAAAGAAATTATCGTTAAAATTCTTTATTTAGCTTTGGCGGCATTAGAACCAGTTTTATATGATTTTTTTTCTTGTTCGAGTTATGCGAATAATTAAAATTCCTAAAAAGTTTTATTAAATGAGAATGAACAAAAAGTGTCCTTCTATAAAGTCTCAAATATCTTAGAAACTCGAGAGGGTGTGAGTGTGGGTGTGTAGATGTAATTTTTCTCCTCGATTGAACCCACACTTCAACGAATTGATGATCTGAAAATAATTATCTTGTTGTTATGTATTTGAGTTTGAAGGAAAACTAGGCGTCTTAATTATTATAAATAAAAGTATCTTTTCATGTCATGTGTAAGTACTGAAAAAATAATAATAGAATTTATATTGTTATAGGATTTACGATTGTTCAACGTAAGTAATGTTGGCACCAGATTCACGTATTTCCTGCCTTTATTCGCCCCTACGTCTGTGCTGTTCTCCTACTCGACTGTGCTGAATGCAGAATTTAATTCTCTATCGGATGGTAACAACTTCGACCCAAGTCGTCGACCATAAAATAGGGACTACCACCTAAAAACTGATTTTGGCCCAATGTGACGAATTCGGAAAACATGTAATTCCTGTCCCGATTCGCGCATACACCTGTGCTGTTCCCCTCTTCGCTTGTGCTAGATGCAGAATTTTACGCTCTATCCAATGGTATCGCTTTTCGATAGCATCGTCGTCCAAAAATGAGGGCTTTCTGGCCAAATACCACCCCAAAAACCACTTTTTAACATTATTTCCTACCCGGATTCGAAAATCGACCTGTGCTGTGTCTACAGTTGGTTGTGCTGAATGCAGAATTTAATTCTCTATCGGCTGGTAACAACTTCGACCCAAGTCATCGACCATAAAATAGGGACTATCACCTAAAAACTGATTTTGGCCCAACGTGACGAATTCGGAAAACAAGTAATTCCTGTCCCGATTCGCGCATACACCTGTGCTGTTCCCCTCTTCGCTTGAGCTAGATGCAGAATTTTACACTCTATCCAATGCTATCACTTTTCGATAGCATCGTCGTCCAAAAATGACGGCTTTCTGGCCAAATACCACCCCAAAAACCACTTTTTAACATTATTTCCTACCCGGATTCGAAAATCGACCTGTGCTGTGTCTACAGTTGGTTGTGCTGAATCCAGAATTTAATTCTCTATCGGCTGGTAACAACTTCGACCCAAGTCGTCGACCATAAAATAGGGACTATCACCTAAAAACTGATTTTGGCCCAACGTGACGAATTCGGAAAACACGTAATTCCTGTCCCGATTCGCGCATACACCTGTGCTGTTCCCCTCTTCGCTTGTGCTAGATGCAGAATCTTACACTCTATCCAATGGTATCCCTTTTCGATAGCATCGTCGTCCAAAAATGACGGCTTTCTGGCCAAATACCACCCCAAAAACCACTTTTTAACATTATTTCCTACCCGGATTCGAAAATCGACCTGTGCTGTGGCTACAGTTGGTTGTGCTGAATGCAGAATTTAATTCTCTATCGGCTGGTAACAACTTCGACCCAAGTCGTCGACCATAAAATAGGGACTACCACCTAAAAACTGATTTTGGCACAATGTGACGAATTCGGAAAACATGTAATTCCTGTCCCGATTCGCGCCTACACCTGTGCTCTTCCCCTCTTCGCTTGTGCTAGATGCAGAATTTTGCACTCTATCCAATGATATCACTTTTCGATAGGATCGTCGTCCAAAAATGAGGGCTTTCTGGCCAAATACCACCCCAAATACCACTTTTTAACATTATTTCCTGCCCGGATTCGAAAATCGACCTGTGCTGTGCC